CCGACCCACTTGACTTTTATTCATAAAACTTGAGTTACAAGAAAGACAATTTTGTCCCTCATAGAAGATGGGACACATAACTTAAACTTAGATACAATAGACATTTCAATTTCAATAAGATACACCAGAATGACCAAAATACCCCTGACTCGAGCATTCTAACACTTTTGATAAATGTTCTTATTTCCTAGACTCAAGGGTTGATGTCAATTAGGCTTCAAAAAGAGGGTTGAGATCAATTCAGTTTTAGCATTATTATATGTAAAAGGACATAGTTATCATGCTTTTGAAAAATTTTGCCTTTAAACTTAAAATTATTGACATAACATATAGATAGATAAATACACATTTATTTTTATACATAAATACTTATATATAAATACATGTTTTATAATATTTTTACATACAAATATGAAGCTAGGTTGGGTTCGGGCTGGTCAATGCCTTGACAAATGTTTATATAATATTGGTGCAGCATGTATCAATATACTCTTTCCATTTATCCTCAATAATATATTGGTGCATGCTAGAACAAATTTTAATGCAAGTCAACTCCCAATAAATACTAAAAATTTTGTGAGTTATTCAATGCATCAATCATGTCCACATAGAAAAAAAGGTTCTCTGTAAATTCATCTGTCCATGAAATATGCTCAAACTCTATTTCAGCAGTTTCATACAAAACAGACAAATAACATCTTCAACTTGTGTACATTAGTGTAGAAATCATACCGATAGAGCCACAACATTAATATAGAAATCAACCAGGGTTGCTGCCATCCACCTGCAAATGATTGTAGAACATCAATTTGACCATGTAAATGCATTCTTTTTCTTGTTTAATAGGAAAACGGACTCCTTGAGTAAAGTCAAACCAAAAGAAACACGATCTTATAGTAAATTATTAATACGAATCCAAAGCAAATGAAACCAGGGACGAAAATTTAAAAAATAATAAAGAAACCGTTCCAACAGCTCTCAAAATCATTGAATGAAATTTCAATTTCACTACTATTATTCAATAAATAGAACCACCGAACATAAAAACAAATAACAACAAAGTAAACAATCAAACCCAAGAAAAAAACAAAAAAAACGGCTCTAATGCTTCACTGCTTCTAGTGAGTCCAGTCTGAAAATCATAGTAGTTAAACCTTCAATAAACAAAAACATGTATAAGAAAACCCAGAAACCAGAGAACTGCTTACGGTGTCAATAGCTCTTTGCGGAAAGGAGAACCATCACTGACCAAAGTGTAAATGAGAGTCGCTAGCATCAAGCAACCCAATAAGCTGAACAGAGCTTTTAGTGCATTAACGGTCAAAACCGCCATTGCTGCTTACCGTCACGTTAATATTGGATCTATTAGCACAGAGTCGCAGACTAGTCTGAATTTCTGCCAATCGAAGAGGAAGAAGCAGAACAGCTGAAAACTTGAACTAAACTTTTTTGGCAGGAAGCCAAAAAGTTTTGCGGGTGAGCAAAGTCCACGCCATCAGAAGTCTAGAAGGTCCAAAACTGAGTCCACGTGGCAAAAGTGAGCTGTGCGATCTAGTATTCGTGTCTGATTAGATAAAGCCCGTTCGATTTCATACATTTATGGAAGTGGAACAAAGCAACCGACATGCAAACTGGTCCACTTAATTCAATTCCCAATTTGTCCCTAGTTCTTACAATGCATTGGCGTTTGAGTGCACGCTTTTACAGTTTTGGTCATGAGCTAGTTTCCAACTTTTCATTCTTCAATGCTGGTTTTCCAGGACATGGGTAAGGCTTTCAATTCAATAAATTCATCAAGTAACATAGAGTGAAGAATGATAAGAGCCTTCAAAGGTTCATTAATGCTGTTGGAGAAGGCTGTGATTAACTGATTATAGCGTTCCAATTTGCAAGATAAACAACTTCGCTGCTCTACTGTAAACAAAGCAGAATGAGCATATTCAAAGTCTTTTCTTATCCTATGTGATTTTTGCTGCAACAAACAAATTCAACCCGTCCATGCAGCATTGAAGGCGAAGGTGGGAAAGAGGAAGACTGGAAGAGAACAAAGGCTGAACACATGGTGAGCTGACGAGCAATGAAGATTCTGAAACCAACTTCGTAGTGATGGTGTTGGACTGATGGTCACAACGGCTAGAATTCCTTAATGATAATTTAAAGAAAAATCAACAGGGAAGCCCAAACCCAGAACCCAGAAGATTGGCGCTGCTAAGTGTCCGTTTGAAGGGCTTTCACGCAGCAGCTTCCAATGTTCCATGAGCTGAGAAACCCAGAACGCCACGAAGCTGTGTTTGTTAAAAACCCAAGCTAGAATTACACTTACAGAAACCACAAAATCCACTTTCTGGTGAAGCTATCTCACATAACTGCGGGGCTCGATTAATGTGGCTCAGCCAACACAGAAGCCTTCCCAAATGGGCTTAACACAAATACAGCAGATTCCATTCAGTAGTGTTCTCCGTTGCTAAACAAAGCGTGATGCAGACGTTCACAACCCACACCCACTATGCTGTGATTGAGCATGAGTTTCACGAGATGCATCCATATAGAAAACCCTCAGACTAGACTAGACTAGACTAGACTCCACTCTTAAACAGATTATGATAATCTTTACTCTGAAAGTGAGGGACTTGGATCATCTCTTCATCCACTGTCAAGTCCTTCGACCTATTTGGTTCGGGTCGTGCTTAGCTCTTCGAGTGGAGGAATGTCCTGATAAATGTATTGATGATTGGCTTTCCCTTTGGTAGCAAGGCTTGAGAACATTCCATTCAAGCCCTCATCCATTATTGCTGCCTCGAATGCCCAAACTAAGGAGCTAATTACTCTGAAAGCGAGACATACTTCAGATCGAGCACCAACTTCAGTTATCAGTTGATTCAGTTCCCCGGTGATTTCATGGTGCCCTCCCCCTCACCGTTCATTAAAATTAATGTTGATGGAGACCAAAACCATTCTCAATCCGGGTTGGGTATCATTCTAAGGAATCACAAAGGAGATTTCTTACTTGTTAATGTTTTCTCTAGCCGACCCTGATATCACAGAGGCTCCGAGCAGGTATTCAAATGGCTAAACATTTAAAAATCTCACTAATAGATCATAGGAGATGCTCAAAAGGTAGTAAATTCCCAATTTTCTATGGTCTCTTTTCAGGCCTCGTACAGGCAACAGAGCTGCACATTCAATTGCATAATTTGCTTGTAATATCTCCGGGGCCTTAACTTGGTCTGTCCCGTCAGACTTCCTGATGCCTGTACTGATTGATGACGTTAATGAATGATTTGCCTACGGTCTTTCTCAAGAAAAAAAAAAAGATTTGTGACAATCGCCTCCACTAAAAAAAAAGAAAAAATAATTCATTTTAAATAATGTAGGATCCACAAAGTGGGTTATTATTTATAAATAAAACTTGATTTAATCTCTTAAATTACATAATAAATTTATATATAAAAATATCTAATAAAATAATAACCTAAATTTATAACATAATAAATGGGTATCAAATAAAATTGATCAGAATATATGAATTAAAATGATCAGAATAGCCCCAAAATTAATAAGGTCATTCTCTAGTTTTATTACTATACGTAAACCAAAGCTACGCTTTCCTCGGTGTGTCTCGGCAATCGGCATAATGGTTGTCCCGCATGCGCGGCATGGGTGGAATAGAGGAACCTGCTAAGTCTAAACGGTCACAAAAGCTGCGTAACAATGATACCATCAAAGAGCTGCATTCTGTATTAGGTGAATCAATCCAAATGGGTAAGTTGGAATTTAGGAACCCAAGTTAATCTTGGTAACAGAACTTAACATACAGACTTTCTTACAAAAACAACAGAAGAGGAAACACTAGAACCAGAGTCTCAATGACAATTGCTTAGTGTACATAGGGCTCTGAATGGTAGGTAGTAGATACAAAAGAATGGCTCTGAATCATAAATAAAGAAAAGAAAACGGTGATGATCAAGCAAACCAAAAGGTGGGAAATAAGTAAAAAAAAAATCCTTAACAGCCCATTTCAGCAGGCGCATCCTCCTCCCCTTTGTTCGGTTTCTGAAACAGCCTCTGGAATGCTCTGGAAGTATCTGCAAATGGAGCACCATCTCATATCTCGATCAGATGAATAAAATCCAGTGTATTATTTGCTTTATAGGAAATTCAAATTAATACAAGTATTAATCAATTATTATGAACATAATACTAACTCGAGCCTATTATACCAAAAAGTCAAAAACAAATGCATGCAAAGAAGTATTGCCAAGTACACTGTGAAGAGCAGTAGAAAACCGTCTCGGAAGATCACTGTCCACCAATACAAGTCACTCCTCCCCCCCACCCAAATCCTAGCATCTAGCAAGACCTGATCACAGAAGTGGCAGACCTTCAAATCTATGGAACCAAAATATTCACTCTATAAGCCAAGCCTCCACTCTCTCGATTATGATAGAAAATCATGTTCACCCAACATCTAAGAATCATTCTCCACTTTGACTCTTTCAAAGCTTTCAGAGTACCTCAATCAGACCCTACTGTGACCCTAAACAGTACACAAGATCCAAAATCTCCACATTGATAAAAGTTCTCAACATCGATCAAACCCAAATTGTGGAGGTACAACTTCAACCAATCAAGAAGCTACAACCTAGGTCGGTTTTTGATGTATAACAGATTATTAGGGTGCAGGTTTTCTAGTTAAGTTGTTTAGAGGAACCTAAATGATCCAGGAAACTAGCACATGACAAGTTAGTTTGGGGCTCAAAAGGAGTCATTAAATTCTTCTCATCCTGGATCCATGGAAAATTCTGACGCAAAATACCTTACCAAATATTCTAGATAAGCTCAGTTTCATAGGCAACTTTTAAATTAAAAAATAGAAAAAATTAAAGGGGCCTTATAAATCAGATAAACCTCAAATCTGAGGTTGGAATAGGGCTGATGGGGACTGCAGGATTCAACACATGGTCAATCCAAAATGCTCCCCATCTGCTGATGAATGGTCCATTTTGTCATGATACTCTAAAAGTACCGGTAGTCATTTTATCTGGTATGTTCATTATATTTCCATATGGTATTCAGTACTCAATGAGACAATAGCTCAAAAGTCCATCGCTTTAAGGGAAAATTTCCCAAAATATTAATTTTTTAGCATGCAGAAAGTGTCATATTTATAGACCAAAAAACATCTGAAACAAAGTTAGAAGCAAAAAATCAATAAATGTTAAAATTGGGTAAAAATCAGGTTATCAAAACATGCATACATGTCCTGCTCGTGCTCATTGGCCAGTGCAGTTTTTGCAACACAAAAGAATGCAGCATCAACATTGAGATCCTCTTTTGCTGAGGTCTCAAAGTAAGGTATGTTCCCTCGGGAAGCACACCAATCCCTTGCTTTCTTCTCAGAAACCTGCGCATAAAAATATTTTAGAACCAGATACAAGGAAGAACACCAAAATTTGGGAATTGCTACATAGCCTTACCACTCGGCTGTTTCCACCATCTATGTCGATCTTGTTTCCAAGTAATATAAATGGAAAAGTCTTGGGGTCAGAGGGACTTGCCTGAATACAAAGAAACTGTCTGTCAGCATTATAAAACAGAAAGAAAGTTACACATTATGAAGAAAAAAATGAAGGTAACTTGAAATGAATGTGACTCAAATCTGTTAGAACATATCTCATGACTCTTGTAATGTGGAATTAGAATTACGTTTAGAACAAGATGAATAAACATAAACATAAAAGAAAGAAAATGACGGTAGACTGACAGTGTATACAAAGTTTTTCTAGAACCAAAAGTCAGATACAACCTACAATAACACTTGAAAATTTATTAAGGTAATACTCACAAGAAAAAATGCCATGCATTTTTTTCCAGTCAAATGAATTTTCTTGGGCGTTCATTATATCAAAATGTTCCGTTAACCTAATAATTCTGTAGTGATCTGCACATTAGCTACTGAATCTTTCACTTAGGTCAAGAGACCATTTCTCTCACTGAAGTACTTTCTTTTGAAAAGAAGTACAAAGTTTGCTCCTCTATATCCAAATGGGAACTGGAAAAAACGTAATTAATTGTTTGGGGTTGATTTGAACTCATAAGATCAAAACAGAGAAGTGTTATGTACAGTCTAACCTTCTTCTTGAGTCGGTTTTATGGACAGAAAGAAAGAAAATAAAATAAAAAGACCATGCTGTATATTCTAGGAAACACGGCAGCTTCCACATATTAATAAGAAATAATAAATTCCTGGGCTCAATGATTTGAACAACCGAAAAACAAACTCCACATAAAAGATCATCCCCAATTTCCTGCCACCATCAACGGCAAAGTGGTGCCAGTTTCTCCCTAATCTAATGGAGATGCTTGAGACTAGTCCTTTTGATATCATCATTAACAGTGAGGTGGTTTCAATTATCCTCTATTCAAAATAGAGCCAATAAGTTCTTTTTGGCACCGCCATTGATGGCAAAATGGTTTCTGTTTCTTCTGGGCTTACTGGAGAAGCTAACGAAAATATGTGATTCGAAGAAAAGCCCAATAAGCTAAATATTATAAGATTTTGGGGCCACCTTTTATCTAGATTCAAGTATGCCTTGTTTCTTTTAAGGTTTTTTATTGGTAACCTATCAGAAACTCTTTGACGGTGAAAAAGGAAGGAGAGGAGAAAATAGGAAAAAGGAAGCAGTATACAAGGCCATAGAGAAACATTAAAAGTCAGTTCCACCATGCTATTCGCCTCCAGAAAACACAGAAAATAAAGAACTAAGAAACCCATGTAAGAAAAGCACGGCTAACACTTTCAGGTATGTTATGCATGTTGTTCATAATAAGGTATCTAACAAGCATTGCTGAACATTTAGAAACATAAGCCCTCCACAAGGACTGAGACTTGCAAAGCAGCTTGGGTTCAGCCATCTGGAAGTGGAAGGTGACTTGCAATTAGTGGTAAGCTGGGTGAAAATGAATAATATGGGGGTTTGGATCCATAGACAGGCTAGAAGTAAGGTAAAAAGTTTAGCAAGGGAGATGGGGGTCAATTTCCAATGGATTAGAAGAACAGCAAATGGTTTTGCTGATCTTTTAGCCAAACAGGGAGCATTTATTCCGGGCTAGCCTGTAATGATTTAATTTCTGAAAGGGATCACAACTTCCCTTTGGGTTGTTCAGCTTATTATTGTACTCAATTTATGTCCCTAACCAATAAAGTTCAATGTTTTTTTTTTTTTTTTTTTGAAGGGCTACACCACGGGGGGTAGCCCATCCCCCAACCCAGGTGTTGGTGGGATTTGATCCCAAGTCTCCTCTATGACCAGCAGGAGACCTTACCAAGCAGCTGGTTGGCACCTTGCAATAAAGTTCAATATTTCCTACAAGTAAAAAAAAAAAAAAAAGAGGAAACATTGGGACCTAGAACATAAACCAGGCATTGGACATGTTTCAATCAGTTACAGTATGCCTCTCAACTTTTAGATCATAAATTTTACCTACCTTTCCATATTATTAAGGAAAGCGGAGGAAGAGAAGAAGAGAATAAGCTCTTTGAAAAGGGCTTGTTCACGAATGCACTGTGGGACTGATTACTTTCCTTTGTCACCTTCTCCTTCTTCCTTTCCTGGCCAATTACCTTTATTTCTTGGCTAGTCTTATTGCTAGTATTGCTATGCCTTCCCTGATAACTTGACTGGTGCAGTCTCAGTTCCCGCTCTTACTGCTCTGGTTTAGGTAACTATGGCATACTTTAAACTACCATGCAGGATGGGTCCAAAAAAAGTTCAAAGTATCGACACAGGCCGATACGCCCTTCCAGCGTATCGGCCTGTATCGGTGCGCTTTTTTAAGTTTTATTTTTTATTTTTCAAAACCAGTTCAGATGAGTAGGTTTAAGTCCTGGCTACCCTCTGAACCATGGTCTCACCCGATACAACCCTCGAACCCCTGGAGGGGCGTATCGGGAAGCCATCAGCATGATACATATTGACCGATACATGTCGGTACTTTGAACCTTGGGTCCAAAGCCTTTTCCTAGGATGAGTTTCATGTTTGAACAACTTCTTTGGATTGTGACAATTGTCAGAAGGAAAGCTTGATTTAAAAAACGAAAAAAAGGTATGTGATACAAAACTTATCTGGAAAGTTTGGTTAAAACGGTTGTGCTTTATCAACAAATAGGCAGAGATGAAGCACCTGCTAGAGTCTAAATGCGCTACCTTGACTGCATTCAACAACTCTAGTTTCAGTTCATAAGTACCTTTGAGGTTGGTACAGCTACCATCAACACCTTGGAGAACACTAAAGATATCAAATCAAAATAACCCAAAATTTCGAATAAAAGTTCAAGGAAGTTGAAATAATTATTCAGATTTTTAACATACATAAGGTAGAAATCCAACATGTCCTGCAAGTAGGAGTGTAGGACATTAGTGGACAAAACTAGTTGTTGGTGGAAAATATGATAGTCCACACAAACCCTTAGATGGGAGAGCCTCTACTTCAAGCACCTGGTTAGGCCACAGGAAAACAAATTTTAGTTCAAAAGAAAGATATATTTGGATTGCTATGGGTCCCATGGGCAGCCCAGTGCACAAGGCTCCTGCCAATGCGAGGTCTGGGGAGGGACAGATGTTTGCAGCCTTACCCCTGCACATACAGAGAGGTTATCTCCAAGATTTGAACCTTGGTCACCTAGGTCGCAATGGAGCAACCAAACCATTGTGCCAAGATCTATCCTCAGCTAATATCATTGAATAACAAACTAAATTAAATTTAGCATCCTAACTSAAATAAAAAATTCAGCGCAAAGGCAGAAAGTTAGCTCATATCCCTTACTCATAAATCCTATCTAATATACTTTCCTAATTCAAATAAAAAACCTAGTGAAAAGGCTTTCATGACATTATATTAGTGTGGGTTCCATTCTTCTTCTTTTTTTTTGATGAAGGTAAAGTATTGTATTATGAATCAAAACAAAACAAAATAAACCACCAGCCCAGACCCCTGTACAATGAGAATCTGTACTAGAGGAGACCCAACATCCCCAAAATAAACCCAACCAACAAGAAATTACATATAAAACTATCCAAAAAGAAAATCCTTGTCAAAAAAGAGTTTGTGTGTCTAGCTTTGAATAGAGAGTGATTAGCCAACCACGAATAGTGTGGGTTCCATTCTAGATAGAGTAGGTCCTTCAATCTCTTACTCTTTATGGATAAACAAGACAAAACAAAACCAATTTGAGAAGTCTCTTCTTTCTTTTTCCAACAGGAATGTCAATAGAATTTATTAGTGAACAAGCTCCTTCATTCCAAAGGGTTTGAGAAGGTGACTAATACAAAGAAACCATCAGATCTTACCTGTGAAAGAAACATAACAGTCAAAAAAAGGTTACAAGTTCAACCCAATGTTTTGAAACGCGGAGGCGTGGCACAAGGCATTCCACTACCTAGAGGTGTGAGGCGTAGTTCAGAACATAAGAGGCATAAGCCTCCCGAACACAAGCCTCCTTGAGAGGAGGGGGGATGAGGAGGAAGAAGGAGAAGGAGAAGGAAGGGGAGGAGGACGAAGAGGAAGGAGGATCTCATTTTTCTTTATTTTTAATAAAAATCTTTTATATTAAGAAGAATGAAGATGCATATAACCTTTTCTTTTTTGGTAGGAA